ATGATGAAATAGTTTTTGGCCAGAAAATGCTCTTAATAGGACAGAAGGACACTGTTACGCTAAAAGCAGTACCAGAAAAATAGTGACTAATGGAGTAACTGTCAAGGATGGCGTCAGATAGTTACAGCTGTATCAGTCTCACCTTTCCGTGAATTTCTCAAGAAAACTCTGGAAATAGCAGTACGTTGCGAAGCGGCGCTGTAGCGCTACGCTGTAGCGCGACGCTGTAGCGCTACAAGTATGAACGCTGCCTAAGACTTGTCAGGGGAAGGGACATAGGGGTTGCTGCCGAGTGCCCCTTTCCTCACCCTCCCCGCTACGTTGGCACACAGGAGACTCGAAGGATGCCTTTCCCTGAAGCTTAGGCTTGGAGTGCAGACGCTAAGAGTCACGAGGGATGGTTCCACGGAGTAGATGTCTACACTAAGCCCTGATCAGTGGAAGGACACAGAGTTGCTGCCGAGTCGTCCTCCCCTCTACTATGCTAGCACAGGGCGCTCCCGCAAGTCAGTGCATAGATGAAATCCCATTCGAAAAGTTACTTTGACTTTGAATGGAAGTCGGATGTATGGTGCTACCGAGGCAGTGACTTCTTTATCCCTTATGTTTTATTTCTTGATCAGTGGACGTCCTATAGGGAACAACTTTGTTGTCGTGTAGTATTATGATATGGCATTTGTCGCGCTTACTCGTATCTGTTTCGTACAGACTAAGCCTCCTTCCGAGCTCAATGACGACTGCCTACGATTTCCCCGATTTGAACATCTCACCCATATTTGGTGAAGAAGAAAGCGATAATGAAACAGCTGCACAGAATCTAGCCAACGTGCACGATTCCCATCACGTAGGTTTTTTCCAACCAAATCATAGATTAGGTTCTCCATAGTAGTCTTTTCCGCACTCTGTAGAGCATCGAACCACAGCCTCAATTTTAGGTGGACGTCCCCATACAGGATGTTTTGAAAGGATTATCAATTTCGGAGAGTGATCCGTCTAGAAACCTTTTATCGAGTGATCTATCCAATGGCGAGAGTGGTTCAGGTAGGTTCCACTGGACGCTGTTCAGAAGTCTTATTCGATTCTTCATCATTACCAATAGAAGAATCTGAATTCGCTCGCTTTTATTCTTCATCAAACATGTATGTCTCGTCTAGTTCGCTGTGGACGAAGGGGCGTGTCAGGCGAGATGAGTTTGGCGCGATGCCGAACCGTTCCACTAGTTGTTGAACTGTATATCGCTCGTATCACTCGTTTTCTACCATTCTTGTCGCATACCGCTTCAACAACTGGCAGAGAACGGTTTGGCGCCGTGGCACACTCATACTGCCTGACACGCCCCTTCATCCGCAGCGAACTGGAGTATATGTATGTGTATAACCATAGTGTAATGGTAGATCCATGAAGCTCCATTTATTCTTTTCCTCGCCGATTTGAGTGTTTTGGGCTAAAAGAAAAGCATGTGTAGATGTAGGAGAGAGATTCATACTTATGCGCTTAGACCGGCTGGGAAGAATTGGGTCTCGATTCGGCGTTTTCAGCGTCTGCCAGCGTTCTGAGCGCTCTGAGCACCCACTGCGAATTAAGCGTCTAGCAGCGATTTCAGCGTTTTGAACAACTAATGTACGAATGCATAGATATCGACGACAGCTGAAAACGCAGGCGAACGCTCAAAGTGCTCAGAACGCTGACGGGTACTCAAAACGCTGATCAATATCTATATTTTTATAGTCGCTCAAATAGTTCGAACAGCTCAAGGCGATGCCGCAAAGTATGAACGCCGTAGTGCAACCTCTCAAGTTTGGGTCAGGATTTTCAGCGACTAATCACTAAGAACGGTGATCTACACCCGAAACGCTATATCGATACATATATTATTGCTGAAGACGCTGGCATGCGCTCAAAACGCTCACGCGTCCAAAACCACTAACGCAAAGTTGATCCCACTCTGAGAATTCCGGGTTGGGACCTGCTCAGTGCTTTGGTTGCGAGCAAGTAAAGTAGCCAGAGCGATAGGAACCCGCAGTTTTTAGTGCTTCGACCTATAGGTGAGCGCGGATCCGAAATAGCAGGTACTCACAACACTATAAAGAATACGATACTGACGCCTGCAAGACTGCTGCCAGAATCATGAGCAAAAGTTGCACTGCGGTGACCAGCAATTCCTGGATTTGAGTCTTTGATTAATCTGTATCACAACGTCATAAACTTTAAGATTTTGATCCCATTTATCAAACAGTAGCCGGCAGGTATCATGACTTTGCCTAGCTTGTTTCAGTTTGGCCTTCAGCTTTCGATTTAGGTCTAGAACGCCGTTTAATGTGGTCGTACGGCAATCCACGAGTTGTTGATTCTTTTGACTCGTCGTCTGAAGGAGCATTTGCTGCACTTGAGTGTGAGATGAAGCGTTCACTTTTCTCGGTCGCCGAGTCCTGTGATATCGCTGCTGATCTACAAGAATCTTTTTGTAGTATTCTGAACGGTACGCTTTTGCTAATTTGAAGTTTCGCGTCGCCAGCAAGCTTTCTATGGCTATTGTTCTAAACTTTCATTACAGGCTGTCGCGTCAGTGTGGAAATGGGGTGTTGCACCGAGTCGTCGGAAGATGTCCGTTCTCGGCTTCGTCGTATGGGAGCCGTTGTTTCACGGCGTTTCACAGAAACAACTACTCATGTGGTGTTTTCCTCCGGAGGAAGAGCAGCAATCTTGCGACGTGCTTTCGCCGCCCAGAAAAAGCCATTTCTTGTTGATCCTCGTTGGGTGTATGAGTGAGTTTTACACATTTGGCTTTGGTCTACTCCTACACCTGCACGACCACGGTTCAATTTGCAGTGTGACCGTGTCAGAACCCCCTCTCCCTTTCTTCATCCTAAGTTTTTCCGAATTTACTATCGATTTTGAGCAATTTTTTTTTAGTTTCGAAAAACCGTCGAGGCGATAGTGTGGAGTTACGATATAGTAGTTGTGTAGTAACTCTGCGGTGCCGAAAATTAAAAGGGAAAGGGAGGGGCACATACGATCCTCTTCATGGTGACCAGGAATGATCCCCCGGTGGGATTCTCTCAGCAGGGCAATATTTTGACTTTTTGTGCACATCTTTCAAGACTTGATCTGTGTTTTGTCCCATCTT